AGGATACATTTAAAGGGCAGAGATTGGGTGAGGGTGCATTCATAACCACTTGTCATGCTACTTTACCTGGAAAACATACAGACAACCTTGTCCCACAAACTCATTTCAAGCTGGTTATTAAGATTGCAGACACAAATTAGGTATTTATGGCGCTGCCAGTTGCATCCTAATGTAGTATACAAAAATATTGGCTAAGATATTTTCAGAATTAAAGCATACAAAAGGTAATACAGCCCAGCAAGTTTATTAAAGGGGAAAAATACAGGCTATCCACACACACATTAACATGGAACTGCACTAGAATGCTTTGGAGTGAAGCACAGCATTGTTCTAGCTAAATCGAGCACAGAAGCCTTATCTTGCACTTCCAAATGGATACCTGTTTACACAGTTTCTGAGCAGAATCAATATTTATATTTTTATGGTACATGCACGCTAATGTAGTCAGTGCAATTATCATGCTAATTCGTAAACTGGTGAGCACAAAGCAACCACGGTCATAAAAATGAAATTACACCTATTTTTCATAGTTACCGATGCAATTAATAAGCTCCCACCTAGCCATCTCACTGGTGTATAAGACATTGTCCTGGTCCTTCCTGTTATCTTCTTCTCCTTTAACTCTACCTTCAAGTGGTTGTAATATAAAGCCTTAAGGTTTTTTTTTTTTATCCTAATGCATTCTATGCATGGACCACCCCCCAATACTTGGCCTCATCGCGATTCAGCGGCTCTCCTGGCTCTGTCCATCCTCATAAAGTGGATTGATAGCAGCTGGAGCCTTTGGGAGCATTGGGTGGGATGCTGTGCCCCACTGTCTATGTCTATGGATGCAGGCAGCATGGCTTGGGAGCAAGCCTGAATGAGTGCCTCCGTAGGAAGTGGCTTCCTATGGGGGCACTGGATGAAGAGGAGGACCCAGAAGCACCAGTGGGGAACCCAGGACGAAGAGGATCGAGGCTGCTCTGTGCATAACCATTGCACAGAGCAGGAAAGCATGACGTTTATAATTTTAGTTTAAATAAAAAGAATATGAAGCTTTACAAACACTTTAAGAGTGTATCAAAAGCCAAAAGCTACACTAGCCTGTTGGGCTGCTATGGGGACTGCATGAAGGCAAAATAGCCACCCCATTCTTCAAGCCTACCATCCACCACCTACAAGATTGGCTTGGGGGGATTTATACTGGGGGAAGAGTATTGGTTGTAGTCTGTACCCTGCACTCTCTGCATTATGCACTCCTGAGCCCTGCACTATCTGTGTGTTACATTCTCTTTACCCATGCATTCTCTGTGATACACACTCCTGACACTTGTACGCTCTGTAAAATGCACTCCTGACCCCTGCACTCTCTGCTTTCCCTATGATCTATTTGTTCTGCAGGGCTCAGCTCTTCTTTAGGTAACTGTTCTGCTGCTTTCTATGGGCAACTGATTTGTTGGCCTATAGTGCACCCTAGTCAATTCCACTGCTTGCTCCCCCCAGAGGAAGCCCTAGTTTAATTTTCCTTGTAGTTAACAGGCCCTCTGTCCCCTTCAGTTCCATTCAGGATTTTTTTTCATTTGGGGAGTGCTGGACCATTGCATTATCTTGCAAGTACATGGGGCTTAGGTCCTTCTACCTTATCTCTTGGCCTCACAGCCATCCTGGTTACTACTGGAGTGACATACCTCCTAACCCTCCCAGATTCTGTGGGATTGTCCCGGGATTTCATCAAAAATCTTAGCATCTCGCAGATCCAGGCTCTGTCCCGCAGCTGAGTGCTAGAAATCTCTTTCTGGCACTCAGCTTCCACTTTACCTTCCACACCCTGCTGCACTCATTGACTCCCCATTCAGTGACATCACCTCTGCCCACAGCCGAAATGGAGCAGTATGCCTCTGCTCTTCTGTAGACTTTCCTGCCCTTAAGCAGTATGACAATTTAGCCAGCCAATGGGGTTGTAGTGGGTGTGGTCCACACAGGGTGCTAGAGCTTAAGAGGTGCTATAGGGCTGCCCACAAAAAAATGTCAGGCAGCTGCTGATTATTCAGCGACCGCCTAATTTTTGTTTTGTGTGTGTTACACAACCTTGCAGTTTTTTGCAATGCAGCACCACCTCTGGTTGTCTCACAGCACCAGATAAGAACCGAGGGAGACTATTATCAGAGATCTGTACAGGTCTCCGCTGGGACAGTGGGGCTGCACACTGGGCTACTTATGGATGCTTACCTCTCCTGTGTGCTGAGGTGTAAAATCCCTGGTGCTTTTTGGCACCCAGGAAGCTGTAAGTGTCGCCAATACAAGTGTAAATGCCTTCCAATTTAGCTAGGTTTGTTGTTTTTTTTAGATAGAGGCTGAGTAGCAGCCTGGGATGAGTCAGCCTAGGAGTGAGGCAGGAGTTCACCTCAGCGCAGGCAAGGAGGTTCTACATGCCAGGGCCTCTAGAGAAAACTTTCTGGAACAGAGGAGGAAGAGGGGAGGAAACTCAGATCTGCATGGTTGAGGGACCTTTGCCAATCCCCTGGCAGGAGGCTGGGCATGGTGATCAGGGCAACCCTCAAATATGAAAGAGCCTGTGGAGAGAGTGGAGTTGGATGGAAGATGGACTAGAGCACAGGTGTCAAACCAGCTGTCCAGCTGCCAAAATACAAGTCCCATGAGGAATTGCAAGACTGACAGTTACAAGCATGACTCCCAAAGGCAGGGGGATGACGGGACTTGTAGTTTTGCAACAACTGGACTAGAGGAAGGCTGGAGTATGGAGCCTGGGAGGGGGCCCCAGGGAGGGGAGCCTACCTACAGGCAGATGGTTGGATCTCCACTGCCTCAACATCTCTTTGGGAAGGACATCCTGAGCAGCTGGGAAGGAGAACAGCGACAGGCCTGAAAGCAGCTACCAACCCAACATATGGACAGGACAGTATGAGTACTCCTACTCCCCCTGGGCCGGATAAAAGGAGAGGGTGTCAGGTGCAGGTGGTCACTAGTATTCACCTAGGACTGCTTAACTGCAAGCTCCTGTGACCCCTTGCTCAGAGATACCTTCAGCACAACTAGGTGATGAGGAGAATTCATCAGAGGTCTGATTAGACACACCCAAAAAGGGATAGTGCTATATTTGCTTCATTTTGCCAGTCTACCCTTTGTGTACATAGTTGCTGAGAAGTTTTTCTCAAGTTCTACAGTTCCATGTGCATCCCATATACCCCTAGACCCCATCCAAGTTATTAACCCCTTAAAAAAACAACTACAAACCAGCTCAAGGACTGTTTTACTGACTCTGAAAGTAAAAGTGTGGAAAATGAATGTTGCCTGGCTGTACAGAGCATAGGGGGACCCAAATCAAATCCAGCGGCCCTTACAAGAGTAGTATGACACAAGTAAATGATTGGCGGCTGTGCTCAGGTAAACATCATCATGGATTCTGCATTGGTGTTTATCCTAATGTGTGTATGGTCCTTCTTCCTGAGCACACCACTTCCGAGCACAGCCACAAACAGCCATTGACTTGTTTTGATAGCTGCACACGGCACGTGCGCCTCATCGAACAGGAGCTGCTGAGCGTCCATGTGCATGAGGCCTAAACAGAAAAATATATTTCTGAGGAGGATACCAATATTCCTCTATTGGCTCTATTTTCTTGTAGAAGATTGTTATAGGTGGGCAAAGGAAGCAACACAATCCTTGAAATCTATATAAAATAACACAACTTTCCACATATGAACTATATGAACACATATGAATAAATTGCGAGAAGTTTATCACCCAAAAATGTGCAGGAGCTTTTTTTGTGTGCAATAAACATGTATAGGGCAGTCCATTCAAATGAATGGGCTGCCCTTTGTGAAACACAAGGGAACGTGTGTAAATCAGCCCCAAAACAACGCAAAAAGGAATGCATGTTCCTACTATTCAAAGTGTGGATGGGGTCTTTTGCGTTGAAACACTAAGGCCCCATTCACACTTCGTATAGTGAGAACACGCATTCCCTTTTGCGTTGTTTTGAGGCAAGCATTCCTTCGTGTACATGCATTCCCTCGTGCACATGCGTTTCCTCCTATACATATGTTCTTGTGTACATGCATTCCCTCATGTTTTACATGCGTTCCCTCGAGTTTCACAAAGGGCAGGCCCATTAATTTGAATGGACTGCCCTATATGCTCCTGCACCTTGTTTGGGTGACAAGCTTCTTGCAATTTATTGATATGTGTTCTGCTGTGGTTTTTGTTGCATGGTAATAGAATTGCATTGCTTTTGGGGAACCATTTAAAAACAAAGGGCGCGCAAATGCGCACTGCGCATTTTCCTGCAATTTTACCTCGATTAAGCCCTCGGTTACATCAGGTGCGACTTGGCATGCAATTTGCATGCCCTGCAACTTGCAAATCGTATGCCAAGTCGCACCCTATTGTCCGCTATTAGAGTGGTCATATCAGTGCAGTTCCGATTTCTAAAGTAGTACATGTACTAATTTTGTTTCTATTTGCATAGACATCGGTGTCAGATGTCTTGCAAATCGCAAGGAAATCGGCAAGACACCCGATTTTGAAATTGTGCAACTTCACTGTAAGTCGCAGGATTTCAAAATCGGCTTTGATGTGTCTGGGGTGTTAGAATCGATTCCAAAATCGCTAGGTGTGAATGGCGCCTCAGGCAGGGTCGTACTGACCATTTGGAAACTCGGGCACTGCCCGAGGGCCCAGGGGTCAGTAGGGGGCCCATGAGATGCCCCTGGTACCTTTTTCATAGGCTTTTTTGAGTTTGGGCAAGGACACAGGGGCCCCATGATCCCCTATTGCCTGGGGGCCCCATGAGTTGTCAGTCCGCCCCTGGCCTCAGGTATGGACAGTTTGTAAATAATACAATTTTGCTGAGGGAATACTGAGTGAGCTGTAGTGGAGATCCTCCACACTAGAGGGCAGCACTGGATCTCACATGTATTTACTCTGTTTTCCCGTTTGTAAAGTCATATTGCCTGAAGAGGCCAAGTGACAAGAAGAAGGAATAGACGACTGCAATGAGTACACTTCAGTGTCTGCTCCGAGCTGGGAGGGGGCCGTGCAGAGCTGCAGCCATACTGACGAGGTGTAGCAGCACCAGCACCGTGCAACACGAGCCCTCTGCACTCACTGTCACTGTACAGGAGGGGGGCGTCAGGTACAGAGCTGCACAGGACACCCACTGCAAACTTCTATGGGGGAGGGGCAGGTAAATCATGGGGCTAGCTTGTCACTTGGTACATATACAGGGGTTAGACAAAAATATGGAAACACTACATGATGTGCAGGTGTGAAAGTGATAACATGTTTTAAGTTGAAAGCAAAAGTGATGTATCATTTTGCTTCCACTGTGTGATGAGACACCTAGTCAGGTGCAAAGCCTCACTTTCGTCATTCGCTGTGTTTTACAGTTTTCAGGGAAAATGTCGTTTGATATGCACGGTCTACATGGTCCGCTGACCGAAAGAGACAAAAGGACATTACGCAGGATTGTTACCTGGAATATGACAACAACTGCTGCAAAAGTGACTGCAGAGCTCAATCTCAGTCCCTTGAAGACAGTCCCATCAAGACTAAGATTGAGCTCTGCAGTTGTTTTCTTATTCCGGGTCACAATCCTTCACAATGTCCTTTTTTGTCTCTTTTGGTCAGGTGACCATGTCGACCACGCTTATGTTTATCAGGCGATGTTTTCCTGGAAGCCATATTAAGCTTTGATACTGTACCTCGCGACATGGCAAATTGGCAACTTCAGTCACAGAGGCTCCAGCTAAGCGGGAACCAACAATTTGCCCTCTTTGAAACTCAGTAACCTCTGACATGACTCCGTATTATTAGCATTCAGTGAATGACGAAAGTGAGGCTTCCCACTTGTTAGCTAGGTGTCTCATCACACAGCAGAAGAAAAAGAATGTTACATCACTTCCGCTTTGTATGTGAAACCTGTCATCACTTTCATACCTGAAAATATTGTAGGGTTTTCATTTTTTTGTCTAACCCCTGAACATTTCTATTTTATACATACATATATCTATACATCCACATATACCCATAACAAACGTATTATTGTTAGTACTTATGCAGCGATCTCAATTTTTGCAGCACTTTACATATTTATTATACATTCACTTCAATCCCTGCCCTAAAGGAGCTTACAATCTAAGGTAGACTCACATTCATTCATACACATACTAGGGCCAGTTTATACAGAGCCAATTGTGTGAATGAACGACCCAATACCAAGGATTTAGCTGATTGCAATGAACGCTGAGGCCCCGTTCACATTTCATGTAGTAGGAATGTGCGTTCCCACTCACAAAATTTTTTGCATGATTCCCACTTGTTTCTGCATGCTGTGCATTCACTTGGTATGTTTATCACACTAAAGAAGCTCAGGGACCAAATTTTGTTCCTCGGCCAGGCTCCTTTTTCATGCATTTTGAGACAATCGTGGCAAAAGCGCACACTTGGAGTGCCATTAAGAATGACCTAAATATCACTCAAACATGCATCGCACACTTTCTCACACTTTTAGCACAATTTGGAAACGTGGGTAGAATCGCCACGGTTCCAAATCGCTAGATGTGAACGAAGCCTTAGGGCTCTTTCCTACTGCTCCATTGCAAAAATGCAACGCATAATGCGTTTTTTTTATGTGTTTTTTTAGAGCATCTGCAATGTAGTTTTTTCCACTGAATATGTGAATGGACAAAGCACTTCCCACAGGTGTTTCATTTTTGATGCATTGTTGCTGGGGTTTCCATTCATTTCAATAAACAGAAGTTTTTGATGTGTTTTTGTTTTTTTTTGCCACACCCAACATGCACGAAATATGCAGCAAGCAGGTTTTCTAAAAACAAAGCTGAATCACAACTTACCAGTGTGAAGAGTTTCGTAAGATTTAGGGCCTATTCACACCATGCCCACATATGAATTGCACAGAAACGCGCTGTGTGTTCCTGTGCAATTCATACCACGTGCAAAACGCACTCCATTTAATCTGCAGTGGATGTCAGTAGAAAGCTAACGGTACTTTTTTACCATGCAATCCGGTTACAGTGTGTTTTAAAATGTAGTGCATGCACTACTTTTGGTGCAGTGTGGTTTTAGCCCATTCAAAATGAATGGGCTGAAATCACACCACCCAGAACTGCATGTGAATTTCACAGAAATGCATTTTTCATGCACTTTTTTTTTACCTGAACAAGTAAACAAAAACTGGTCAGTATGAAAGAGTCAGGGAAAGCACATTGCAGTATCTCACATACACCAGTCCTCTCAGTCTTCGGTCACACTGAATCTGACTTTGAAATCATGCGACTTCACTTGAATTTGCATGATTTCAAAGTCGGATGTCAGTCTGACTTCAGGTGCAACTTGGAAGATATCTGTGCGACTTTATGCACAGATGTCTATGCAAACCGCACATGAACTTGCAAAAAGTAGTGCATGAAGTACTTTCAAAATCGGTGCAAGTCTAAGTTGGAATTGACTGCTTCCATTGCGGACAATAGGGTGTGACGTGTCATGCGATTTGAAACTATTGGAGACTCAATCCTATGCTGACACAATAATTATGAAGTAACACAAAAGACCTGGTGGATCTTACTTTATGCACATGTATCAATTTAGTAATTGAAACAAATAGAATGTCTCGGGGCTGGTTCATACCAGATGCAGTCCAGTGTGTTTTTAATTTTCATAAAAAAAATGCATGCACAGTATTTTCCATATATTCAAATATCCCTAGTTTGTATCAGTGCAGTGCACAAAAGTAGAACATGCAACATTTTATTCTGTATGGAAAGTTTCTACCATGTGGAAAAACGCACAAAAACTCACTGTAACACACCAAAAATGCACCAGAACGCACGTCCTTAATTGAATTAAAAAAAAAAAAAAACCTGACAAAGAACACTGGAACATGCAGATACAGATCTGGAATGCAGAAATTGTGGTGTGAACTGCCCCCCACAGTATAAATGCACGGAAGCCCAAGAATGAGGTATCCTGCTTGTTACAATCTCTATTTTAATACATGTTCATAGGAAGATCCACCAGGTTTGTTATTATTGTATCGGCAAAGGGCTTAGAGTGTATGTGAGCTTCTGCAATGTCCTTTCCTTCACTGTGCACTTCAGTCAGCTAAATGCTTTGTATTGGGTAGTTCATTTGCTTGTTTGTTCATGGGTGTGTGTGTGTGTGTGTATATATATATATATATATATATATATATATATATATATGTGTATATATGTGTGTATGTGTGTGTGTGTAGATATATGCATGTGTACATACTGTACACTCACCGGTCACTTTATTAAGTACCCCTGTTCAATCGCTTGGTAACTCAACTTGCTAATCAGGCAATCACATGGCAGCAACTCAATGCATTTAGGAATCTTGACGGTGAAGACGACTTGCTGAAGTTTAAACCAATCATCAGAATAGGGAAGAAAGGGGATTTTAATGACTTTGAACGTGCCATGGTTGTTTTTGCCAGGCAGGCTGGTCTAAGTATTTAAAAAACTGCTGATCTACTGGGATTTTCGCGCATGACATCTCTAAGAAAATCGAGACTCATCAGACAGGCAACATTTTTCCAATCTTCTTTTGTCCAATTTTAGTGAGCCTGTGTGAATTGTAACCTCTGTTTCCTGTTCTTAGCTGACAGGGGTGGCACCTGGTGTGGTCTTCTGCTGCTGATGTTTCAAAGTTTCAAAGTTCAACAACCATACCACAATTCAAGCCACTTAAGTCCCAATTCTTCCTCATTCTGATGCTTGATTTGAGCTTCAGCAAGTTGTCTTCACCATGCCTAGATGCCTAAATGCATCGCGTTGCTGCTTTGTGATTGGCTAACTAGCAATTTGTGATACCAAGCAGTTGAACAGGTGTACCGAAGTGGCTGGTGAGCATACAGTATCTCCCAGAAGTGAGTACACCCCTCACATTTTTTGCAAATATTTTATTCTATCTTTTCATGTGACAACACTGAAGAAATGGCACTTTGCTACAATGTAAAGTAGTGAGTGTACAGCTTGTTTAACAGTGTAAATTTGCTGTCCCCTCAAAATAACTCAACACAGCCATTAATGTCTAAACCGCTGGCAACAAAAGTGAGTGCATTCCTAAGTGAAAATGTCCAAATTGGACCCAATTAGCCAATTTTCCTCCCCGATGTCATGTGACCCATTAGTGTTACAAGGTCTCAGGTGTGAATGGGGAGCAGGTGTGTTAAATTTGGTGTTATTGCTCTCACTCTTACTGGTCACTGGAAGTTCAACATGGCACCTCATGGCAAAGAACTCTCTGAGGATCTGAAAAAAAAGAATTGTTGCTCTACATAAAGATGGCCTAGGCTATAAGAAGATTGCCAAAACCCTGAAACTGAGCTCCAGCACGGTGGCCAAGACCATACAGCGCTTTAACAGGACAGGTTCCAGGCAGAACAGGCCCCACCATGGTCGACCAAAGAACTTGAGCGCACGTGCTCAGCGTCATATCCAGAGGTTGTCTTTGGGAAATAGATGTATAAGTATAAAATATTTACAAAAATGTAAGGGGTGTACTCCCTTCTGTGAGCTACTGTATGTATGTATTTCTACTAATAGGGTAAATTCACACTGGAACGCAGAGCTGCCAGAGAGCTTTACCACTCCGGCAGCTCTCTGATCCCAGGTGTGTTAGGGGGCAGTGTGGCATATGATTCACACGGCACCCTTTTTTTTTTTCTTTTAGTTTTTGTTTTGTACAATTTTTATGTGAGGTATACAAAACCTACACTTCATTTATGGCAATGTACAGCAGCACAATGTGTTGTGGTGCTGTACATTACCATGCGATTTAGTAGGATGCACTGTGATAAAATGCAGCATGTCTGCTTTTTATCGCAGCACTCTGCAGCGCAGCCCTAGTCTGTGTTAAAGTGTGAATGGGACACATAGGAAACAATTGTTTCCTGTGTGTCCTTGCAGTGGCAGGTGTTTTACAATGCAGTAAAATGCCTGTCATCGCAGGATGTGTGAATTCAGCATTAAGAGGACTGCTGTTTTTGGACTATATCATGAAGCTGCATAGCTGAAAAAGCAGTGTGATCGTACCGTATATCTGCATTCTGTTATTGTAATGGATAGAGGGAGAGTGCTGCTATCATGCGATATTCTTCCAGTGAGAAGAAGGTACTATGGAGACTGTATTGGATTGTGAACAGGTTTATTGAAAAGTTACCACTCTGGCAATTAGGAAGGCACCAGCAATTTTTTTTTTTTGTATTTAGCACATGGGAAAGTGTATCTGCTGGATTTAACCCAGTGGGAGAGTGCAAAATACCATTATTTTAAATTTTTTTTTTTTGGATTGGAACTCTTTAAAGACCCAAAGGAAATTAAATGGGAAAGTGTAACACGCATTACTACACAATATAACGTGTGTCAATGGATTCTTATGATTAGTAAATTAGTAATACTTGCAGTATGCAAATATATGAATGAGTTGGTAATTGCTGCTTTTTCTTGGCGTAAAAGTCAATGGGATATGCACTGATATGAGACTATAGCTCATAGCAAGTGGAGCTGTTGCCAGTGGCAGCTAATGAGATGCCTTGGTTCCTTCTCCCAGAAAACACAATCTTTAATCTGATTGGTTGCTAGAAGGTAGAGTTTTTTTTTTTTCTTTGCTCTACTAATCTTAAATTAACATAGATGTTTTAAAGTAAGAAAGTTCTTGCAAGACAGGATTGCTGACCTGTGAAATGTCCTCTTGATACTTTCTTTTCCTTGCTGCCTCTATGTACTTCAATCTGCTTCACTGACATTGAGAAATCTTTGGAGACCCTCATGGTTAGTAAGTACATCAGACTGCTCATGGACTTCACATCTGCAAATTCTCAACTAGGGCATGGAGATTTATATAATTAATTCAAACTACATTTATTTAACAAAGTAAAGAGATAGGAAACTGCTGATTGGTTATTATCTGTTTGGACTGCTTATAATTGAAGTAAAAATCTGATTGCCCCAGGTTGTAGCATTTTGTATTTCTGTATAAAAAAAGATTACTACAAAAATTAGTATAACCCATACACTTGCTAGACACTTTGTGGTGTAATATAACTAATGGTTAGCTCTCCATTTTAATTATCAGTCCGCTATGGGTTTTTTTAAACTGTCAAAAATAATTAGCCATGGCAACACTAGGGATGTTCTGTACACTGTTTGTATATAAAACATCACCAGAAATCAAATTTTCTGCTTGAGTGTGGTTGGTTCAGTTCTTGTCTTTTAAATGTGCTTGAAGGAAAGATTTAGGCATCCCCAGCTGTGCCCTTACAGTGGATCTATAGACTCCAAGTTGGGATGCTGTCACAGTCTGAGATATCGAACCTGTACCTTGGTGTGGCTGCTTTCCCTGAGAGTGGAGTCTATAAGATAACGGGTGTTTTGCCATGGACTACCTCACAGGAGTTTGAGCTTTGCTGCAGGCTACCCTCAGGTAACTCAACAGGCACTCCTGGGGAATAGGGTGGGTACCAGGTGACTAGGAACTGGAACTTGAGAGAAGCCCAAGGCACTGGGCAGCTTAAAGCAGAGAGAATATGGAGGCTGTGGGTGCAGAGGCAATAGGAGAGGAGGAGGCTGTGGGTGCCGCACAGACTGTTGGAAGAGATAAGATGCCATGGAGGCTGCAGATACAGAATGGACTGTGGATGCAGCTGGGGTGCAGCAGAGACAGAGGCTGCAGGTGTGGCTGAGACTGTGGATGCAGTTGAGATACAGCAGAGACTGCAGGTGTAGCTGAGGTACAGGGGAATGCAGCAGAGTCTTTAGATTTTGCAAAGATGCAGAGGGGCTGTGAGTTCTGCAGAGACTGCGGTTCTACCCTGTGGGAGTCAGGCAGAGGAAAAAGACTTCAGTAATTCATGGGAGCAATATAGACTCTATGAGAGGAGATTTACTAAAACTCAGAATGTGGTGCAGCTGTGCATGGTAGCCAGCCCCGGATTGGGACATAAAATAGGCCCGGGCATTTTAGACTGAGCAGCCAATTTTTACAGGGATGGGAGGTAAGGGAGTTTGCGGGGCAGTTGGTGATGGAATATTCATGGAGTCGGTCCTCCGCCCTGTAATGTAAAGGGGCACTGTGATATAAAGGACTGCACTGTAAAGGGGCACTGTATTGATTACAGTGCCTCTTTGCAGTGCAGTTCCCTTTATCACACTGCCCCTAGCAATCATAGCCCTCCATCACAGTGCCCCTTGCAGTAATGCCCCCCCCCCTCTTTCTATCTAATCACAGTGCCCCCTAAATATTCAGCAAAGCGACATCCCAATCCAGCAAAGACTGTATCTGCAGCAGCTGGCCCGAGAGATGTATGTCCCCTGCAGGCGCTTCCTACTTGTCACTGGAGTGTCTCTGCCGCACCTCCTGCCAGCCCTGCTTTAGGCATAGCGGAAGGTGAGTTGCGGTCTTAGTCTGTGTTAGCACTGTCCAGACTGTGGTTGCTGCTTACCTCCCGCTGTGCGTCCCGGTCATCAACAGGCTGCTGTTCTTAGGCAGTGCGGCCCTGGCCCACCGGACAAATGCCCGGTGTGCCATATGGCCAGTGTGGGCCTGATGGTAGCCAATCAGTTCCTAACTTCAGCTTGTTCAATTAAGCTTTGTCAAAAAAAAACCTGGTTACTATGCAGAGTGGCACCAGATTTTGCACTCTCCAGTTTTAGTAAATCTCCCCTTATGTGTCACATGATCCTTTTTCCTATGTATACCCGAGTAGGATGTGCGGTCATTGCTCCAGTTTAAAGTGGTTGTAAAGGTTCAAGGTTTTAACTTCATTCATTTCATGCATGAAGGTAAAAAAACCTTCTGTGCGCAGCAGCCCCCCCAATACTTACCTGAGCCCCCTATCCATCCAGCGATATGCACTGCAGCAGTGGCGCTCCAGGGTATCTCACTCCACATTGTCTGACACAGCAGCGGGAGCCATTGGCTCCCTCTACTGTCAATCAGCCAGTGAGGAGAGGGGGGGGGCGGGGCCAAGCCACGCTCTGTGTGTGAATAGCCTGACAGAGAAGTGGCTCAAGAGCACGTCTGCTTGGGTTCTCTAGGGACATAGGGAGGGAGGGGCCAGGAGCATTTTTGGAAAAAAGCACCGCAAAAACTGACAAAGCGCATACTGTATTAGTGTGGAACAGGCCTTATGGAGCCAAATCACACCAAAGTAGCACAAGAGCCTTTTTCAAAATTGCACTGCAGGGTCATATTCATGTGAACTGGCACCATTGAACATAATGTGATTTCCTTGTCATGCAACTCTCTGCGACTCAAGTCACATCACACCAGTGTGATTAGAGAATCTCATCCAATTTCTGTGAATTATCTTGCAAATCCACATATATTGTAGATTTGTCTAAACATAATAGTGTGCACAATCTGCTTCAAATTGCTGAAACCCCATCCTCCGACACCAACAATAGTGGGGAATGATCCAGTATGTCCTCCAGTTCAAATTCAGTTAAGTGTACTTAAAGCCAACAAGGATGTGCAGGAAGCAGTAACTCATAACAACAGTTCAGATTACTGGAAATGGCTGTCACGTGACTTTTTTTTTTTTTTTTTTTTTTTTTTTTTTTACTGTGGGTAGGGTTACAGCATTTTTACATCATTCATCATCATTGCTCTGTGATTGTCATATTGTATATCTTCTCTTTAGCCGGATGTGGAAGTCTTGGGTGGAGCTCTCTATTTAAAAGACAGATATAATTAACTTTTTTTTTCCATTTGTAAATTGAGACTAAAATGAATGTTCTTCTATACAGGAAAATAACTCTGAATAATCCACAGAAACGTAATGCCTTATCGCTTTCCATGCTGCAGTCCCTTCAGAAAGATATTTCATATGAAGTTAATGATATGAATTTAAGAGTCATTGTGATTGCAGGTATCTATACATTTAAATACGTTTCCATGCTTTTTGTTTGAACCTGTTTTACCTATCACTTTCTGCAAATAGAATCCAAGGTTCTCTGTCATGCAAGTACTACCTTTTTAAAGTGGTTGTAAAGCCTTACGTATATCCAGTGACGGGCTTCAAATGTTACACCGAGATGAAACATATCCTCTTACATAAGTTGTACCTATTTATCTTCAGTATTCTCTTCTCTACATCCCTTCAAAGTACAGGATTTATAAAGCTTGTCTGAAAGCGGGGGGCAGAGAGCTGAAGTTATAAACAGCAGAGTTCAGTGAGGAGAGCTCTAAGCCCTGATTGGAGGGAAGGGACACAGTCCGTTCACACAGCACATTGGAACAGAGCTAAGGCCGTCAATCACAAGCTGTGTGCTGGAGATCCCTCCCCTGCCACCATCTTTTTCTTGGTGTCAGTAAAACTTGTCAGAAGTGACTCGTACAGATAGCAGAGGAACAAAGCAGCAGACAGAAGTGACACTTGGTGCTTTTAATTGAGACAAGTACGCACTATAGAAGGTTATGCTTAGTTCATATATCATGTCTGAGGTTTAAAACCACTTTAATGACTGGGAAGTACCTGATTTCAAGTTCTGCCCCTCTCAGGGGTGCTTATGGCTCTTACCTCTCCATTCCCATTTTATGTTTTGAATTTAGGATGCTAATATTACTTTGAAAATGAAGCTGTGGGTTTTGAAGAATTAAAAATAGGACTTTTTTTTTTACTTAATGTAAAATCCTTTTCTCTGAGTACGTTAAGGGATACAGCCTATGATGGGTAAGCAACCCTAGTAGTATAACCCTAAGTTGCTTAACCCTTTTACCACTATCAGCAAAAGGCTGGGGGGAATGGGAGGATTTACACACGCGCAACAGCTGTAAAGCTACCCATATGCTTTCCCCCAGAGTGCCAACACCCCCCCCCCCCCCCCCCCCCCAGTGCAACCTGTCCTTGCCATGCTTCTCGGGGTCTGCTGTCCCAGGACCTGCATGCTGGGTATTGCCAGGTGGAGGGAAGGGAAACCAGTGAACATCCAATCTCTTTGATTCCCTAGCTAGAATGAACCCAGAAGCAACAAGTAAAATGGGAGATACTCCTTAGGGGTTACTTGCGTCTAAAACTTTCCTCATGAGAACACTGAAAGTACATCAGCCTAATATAATTAAGCAGTCACTTCCATTCAGGACGTGTTTCGTCATACCCAGACATCTTCCGGGACTAGGAGACTGCCCTCTGCCATCGCGCTTATATAAGTAACAACCAAGCCTCAGTTTGGAATAAACCGGCCTCCATCTTGATTCCAAATACCGGAAATGAGCCCGTATCTGGAAATAAATCTTCAGTTTGACTCAACTTAGGTGACGCAAAAATGAATACACCCCACAACAAAAACTATTACATCTAGTATTTTGTATGACCTCCATGATTTGTAAGGACAGCATGTCTCTTCAGAATTCCCCATGGGTGTTCGATTGGGTTCAGGTCAGGAGACATACTTGACCATACTTGAACACTGAATCACTTTCACCCTGTTCTTCTTCAGAAATGCAACAGTTGCCTTAGATGTGTGTTTTGGATCATTGTCATGTTAGAAAAGTGCACGACGACCAAGGGCATGAAGTGATGGTAGCATCTTCTCTTTTAATATAAAGCAGTTCATCTGTGAATTCATGATACCATCAATGAAATGTAGCTCCCCGACACCAGCAGCACTCATGAATGACACTGTCACCACCATTTTTCTTTGTACTCCTCACCATTGCAATGCCATACAGTTTTGAAGCCATCCGTTCCAAAACATTTATCTTGGTCTCGCCACTCCAGAGTACAGAGTCCCAGTAGTCTTCTTCTTTCAGCATGGGCCCTGGCAAATTCTAGGAGGACTTTGTGCATGGGCTTTAGGAGAGGCTTCCTTCATGGACAACACCCATGTATGCCATTCCTCTACAGTATACGCCGTATTGTGTCATGAGAAACAATCACCCCAGTTTGGCTTTCTACTTCTTTAGCTAACTGCAGTGAACTTGCATGGCTATTTTCTTCAACCCTTCTCATCTGAAGACATTCCTGTCAAGGTGTTAACTCCTATGGACGGCCTGGACGTCTCTGTGAGATGGATGCAGTTCAATCTCGGCTAAATTTTTGTATCACTTTTGCTACAGTATTCTGACTGATGAGTAAAGCTTTGCTAATCTTGTAGCCTTCACCTTTCTTGTGTAAAGAAATTTTCTTTTTCAGGCCTTGACATTTCTCTTCCATATGTTGCCATTGCTGGCAGCATGAAATTGGAAGGGGGTTTCTTTAAGTAATGCCCTTATATAATCAACTGTCTGCTGGACCCTTGTTTAATGAATAATTAGAGTCACCTGTAGTTGAATTCTTGTTAATTAGTGTTTTGTTATCTAAAATTTAGCTTTGCTCCTAAGGCTGGTCATACATTATACAATTTTCCTGAGATTTTTGCTTTAGATTTACCAAAAACCATATAATAGGTGAAACCTAAACAACACTTTCAATTGTATTCAATTATGCAGGCCCTTGCCCTACATAGATGAAGGTAAATCTAAAGGAAATTGGACAGAAAATTGTATAGTGTATGACCAGCCTAAGCCTTTCACTGTGGTGTATTCATTTTTTGGTCTTGAATGAATTTGTTAGGAAAAATACTTTTTTTGTGTGTGCAAATTAACAAATTGCATTTGCGATCAATGGCCCGCATTTGTGGGAGTATTTTATAGTATAGTGTCCCACAGAAAATGTTGATTCTGAAAGGACAGTAAAAGTTATCTGGCAAATCTGTTGGGGTGTACTCATTTATGCTGAGCACTGTATATCCTCCCTCTGTTAATGACAGCAGTAATTGTTTCTTAGGATAGGTGTGTATTCCGCTAACGTCTGGTTGATGGGTAGTGGTGGTGCTTAAGAAGCTAAAAGAATGAAATACATTCTCTGTCAAGTGAGAAGTTAGTGATATTTAAAAAAAAATAAACATGTCATACTTACCTGCTCTGCGCAGTGGTTTTACACAGAGAAGCCATGATCCTCCTTCTCGGGTCCTCCGCTGGCGCTCCTGGCCCCTCGCTCCTGGCCCCTCGCTCCTGCAGAGTGCCTGCTTGCTCTGGGGGCACCCAAGCAGACTCGCTTCAGAGCCACTGCTCTGCGTGTTCATTCACACACAGAGCTGCGACTTAGCCCCGCCCCTTCGCTTTCCTCATTGGCTCACTGGCTTTGATGCCAATGGTTCCCGCTGCTGTCTCAGCAAATGAGGAGAAACAGTCCCCTGAGAACCGAGGCTCTCGTGCACGTTCGTTCGATCGTGTTGGGGCTCAGGTAAGTATTAGGGGGGTTGGGAAGGCTGCTGCACACAGAAGGCTTTTTAGCTTCATGCATAGTATGAATGAAGGTAAAAAAAAACCTTGAGCCTTAACCACTTAGTGTTGTTGACCACCTCTGCATTCTCTTGGCAGCGCAGGTACTAAAAACCACAGCTGTAGTGATAAAAGGAATAGTAACATATGCCACTAGATTACTGGTGCTGCTGGATCTTTACACAAGAGTTGCAAATGTGAACATAACTGTACACTCCACCAAAAACAGAATGAAAAGTTCTGGATGGAGTTATAGTATATGCAGTAGGACTATATGAGCAATACATTGTATGTGCAACCGTGGGGTTGAAAAAGGATCTTCCCCATATGAGGAAGTTGTAAACAAATTTGCCAACAGCCAATCCATCTATTCAGTATATGAGAGGTTTTCTAAAAACCAAAACCATGTACATGCAAGTACTCCAAAATAGTCTCCTGTTCTCACAGGGAACCCCTTGCTCCCAAGCACATGCCATAAAGGACATATAAACCAATAAACCATGCCCTCTCTAAAAGCACCAGCTTCAACTTACAGCAACTCAGTGCTGAGAACTTCTGTAGACAAGTGAGAAGTTTGCATTGGACGATTGAATGGCAGAGGGCTTAGTCTTAGGTCAGGCTTAAAGTCAAGCTTGGTTTTTGTATAACATTTTCCTAGAAATGAGAGGCTCCCAAGGTATCTAGAAATTATTTTACATTTGGTGCCTGCACTATGGGAGTATTGTTTGTAATAACTGATTTGCTCACTTGCCTGTATCTGGTCCTTGTGTAAAATGTACGTTGGTTTCACATTTTCAATACCCTGAGAACAAAAAGTTCCAATTGCAGCCATGCACAGATCAGAGACTGTGTAAGAAATGTGGTATTATATAGTTTTTTAGTTCTCGCACACAGTAGCATGTATTTTATTACAAATCAACACACCATGCAATTATGTGAACTAAAAAAATTACCTTTTTTATCCTTGAATTTAATTTTGATATGTATTTTATTTTTAAAGCTGAAGGTCCTGTCTTCTCTTCTGGCCATAATCTGAAAGAATTTACATCTGCACAAGGAAAAGCCTATCATGCAGAAGTATTTAATGCTTGTGTTAAGGTAAACACTGTCCTTCCTTTTTATTCTGAATGAAGACAGATTTTTTGCATTGTTTGATTTGAAGCTATTAGAAAATGTCTATGAACCCAATGTCCAAGAGCATCTTTAACCACTTGCCCTCCTGATGATTTACCCCCCTTCCTGACTAGGCCATTTTTCGTGTTACAGCTCTGCGTTACTTTAACTGACAATTGCGTGGTCATGCAATGCTGCACCCAAATGAAATTTACGTCCATTTTTTTTTTTGCCTTGATTTGAGCTTTTTTTTCGGTGGTATTTGATCGCCTGTGCGTTTTTGTTGTTTTTTTTTTTTGTTTTTTTTGTTTGGTTTTTTTTTTTTGGGGGGGGGGTTTTGTGCTATTAGAAAAAAAAAAAAAAAAAACAATTTTGAGAGAAAAAAATCAAATTTCGTCATAAAATTTAGGCCAAAATGTCTTTGCTAAATAAAATCCCAATACGTGTAAATTACGTGGTTTACGTGAAAGTTATAGCATTTACAAATGGCGGTATACATACTGGAATTTGTTTTTTATTATAGCTGGACTGTGGCAGGCATTCTGACACTGGGGGAACTGACTTGGTGTCACTGACATCCCCAGTGACACCAATACAGAGATCAGTGCTAAAAAAAAAAATCGGAACACTGACACTGTACTAAGGGCACTGGGGCAGGAAAGGATTAACATGAAAAGCGATCAAAGGGTTGACTGTGTGCGGTTTCACTGTAAGCTCTGTGTGTGTGCTTCACTGTAATCGCACTGCCGTGGATGGCTGTGCTGTGCACAGCCATCCAAAGCAGTGTGCACAAGCTGACGGAGAACTGTATTGGAGGGATTTGAAGTAGTCGATCGTGATATGATGAGGGATGCGTTTACATACAGTTCTCCTCCCCGTCAGAGATGCTCAGCAATCACGGGCACCGGCGAGTAATCACCATCCGGGACCTGGTGATTGACAGCTGCGAATGAAAGCACGAGTAGGGCCCAAGTGTGCCCCCTACCTGGAAATGCAAAATTATGTGTATATATATATATACTTGATTTTGCACACCCGTACTGCCCTGTAGCAGTATATCTGCTATAGGGTGGCCGGAAAGCGGTTAAAGCACAAACCTTTTTTGGGTAGAGTGGGGATTGACTCTAACTCATCATGGGTCAATGCCATCTCTCCTGATCCCATAGGACCACCCTTAATTAGTCTATGAAAAAAAATACCCCCCCCCCCCTTGTTACAGAAGAGGGAGGAAATGCATGCCAATATGAAGATGGGCCAGGATAAAAAGCTAATAGGGGTTCTAGCCTTTATATTTTTTTCTGAAGAAAGCCTTTTAATTTCTATCTGTGTGGCTCTTGGAGAGTTCCTCTCACTTCCTGTAGGGTAAAACTTGTTTTAACAGAGCCACAGACAACAGTAAAAACACCCTTCCCACACCACACAAAACTAAGAAAGTTTAACTAAGGAATACATTTAAGAATGTATTTTTATTTGAAACTTTTCTAAGAATTATAATATAGGTAAACACAAGTAATTTAACATTCAAAAATGAGCTGATCTGATAAAGGTCAATTTTCAGACTGCCATTTATAATAGGTATGAGGTTGGGAAACTGTAACAACATGATGGTAAGCAATGTAGTGAGCAATAGTGGTATTCTGGCATTATGTAGTCTGTCTAAAATTTGGAGTAGTATGCAGGAGCATCTCAATTTATATGGTAGACAAATCATTCAACTGTACAGAGGCCTAGTAGACAATAGGATTGGGCCCAAGCCTTGGTGACATGCCACTAAAGCAATAAGGAGTATAGTGTAGAAAGCAAAGGAAGAACGGAATGTGAAGATTATCTTCACCCGACTTGGTAAGAGGGGGTTAAGGTGGTGGGGGGTGGGAAGGACTGGAAAAGAAGACAAGATATTGCTTCTTTAAAATAATCTTTTGTGATGGTCTTAATTTTGAGTATCAAAGCATACCTAGGGATCCCCCATTTGTTCGTATTTTCATTATAGTTGTGAGTGCTTCCATAAGCTTAATGGAACTGCACTGCATCTGAGTACCAGAAATGCTATTTAATTCATTTTTAATATTCAAAACAAACTCCTCCGTCCATCTTTGATTTATTTTGCTGAGAAATTATTTTGAAAAAGTCTCCTGGCATTTCTGGCAGTGACTATCTTGAGTAAGGGTTGATGATTCATGTTACTTCCTGGAATCAATTTGTCCTAAATTTGTCCTCAATTTGTCCTATCTAAATAATCTAAATAGTTCATATTGATTTGAGAGTGTGAAGTTCCTCTTTAACTTCTTGAATAATTCAGTAGATGTCAAGTGTATAGTACATGTAACTGTAGCAGTAACTTTTATGGCTTTTTTAGACACAGTCAAAGATGGAAGACCCAACAGGGGGGTGGGTAGATTACACAGGAGTCAAGTGTGTATAAGGTCTTCTGCTGTCTGCCACAATGGCTCTCTCATACTGCAGGTCCAGAATATGTGGAACAATGTCTAAGGCAGGTCATGGATGGTACAATTTTCTTTCTTGATGGGGAATCCCTCCCACTGAGCTATTCTGTTCTCCAGGCGGTAGGGGGGGATGCAGAGAGCCATTCCTGCCTGGAGAACTCAGTGATTATTGCTAGTGGCTATAGCCATTGGCAATAATTGCATGTAAAAATCCAATATGCTGGTTGTACTCAAGGTGATCGATGGAGCAACTTGGGTGCAATCAGCCTGTCCACAGATCTGCTGAACCGGCTGAGATTCAAACCATCTATGGCTGGCTTAAATCATCTCCAACAGCAGTGTAAAATGACAGAGAATGTGTAAAAAGGCAGTGGTGCAATACCAGTGGTAATGGATTTTGAATTGGTTGTATTTATACATAGTACTACATTTTACCTCATTGCTCTATGATACATTTTTTTTATTTAAAATTATATATTTTCCTTTAAAATGTACTTTTTAAAGTAAAAATGTATTTTTTTTCCTCAATTGACCTAGAACAGGGGTGCTCAACCTTTTGAAGATGGAAAGCCACTTAAGCGATTTGGTAATTGGTCATGGGCAACAATGAAATGAAATCATTCAGAATTTTGAACAGCGTAATGAACATTTACTCCTGAAGCATCTGAATGTCGGCGGGAGGAAGGAGAGGACAAATCAGCTCTCGGTGGTTGCAGGAGGAAAATGGAGAGGATCAGTTTCTGTATATGCCACCTCTGCCTCCCCTTCTGTCCAAATGTACAACAGAATGTGACAGGAAGGTCGCACGGGCCCCTGGAGCTTGGGGCGGGGTCACCATTGCAACCCCTGACGCTACACCAGTGGTTGGGGGTGCGTGATAAAACCAAGTGTCAAATATTGGGCTTTTCTACTCCCCAAAAGCGCAAATGTAAATGAGCCCTTACTGTCCAGAGCCCCCTATAAGGTTGCTTTTACACTGATGCACTGTGGTTTACTTGCAACACAGGTGCAGCGCAGAACACCTGTGGCATTCCTGCGGGTTAGCTGTGCTTTGCCATAGACTTCTCTTATATTGGGCAGCACAGTGGCTAAGTGGTTAGCAATTCCACCTGGCAGCACTAGGGTCGTTGTTTCGAATCCCAACCATGGCACTACCTGCCTGGAGTTTGCATGTTCTCCCTGTGTCTGTGTGGGTTTGCTCTGGGTACTCCGGTTTCCTCCAAATACATGCTTGTAGATTAATTGGCTCCTGTCTAAATTAGCCCTAGTGTGTGTATGTATAAATGTGAGTTTGAGACCTTAGATTATAAGCTCCTTTGGGGCAGGGACTGATGTGATTGTACACTAAATGACTGCACTATAGAAGTACCTGTAATTAATAAATATTGCAGGTGTGGTGCACTTTCTGAAAGAACATGAAAACTTCTGCATTCAGGAGTTTTTGTGCACTTTCAGAAAGCACACCAAACTCGGAGGATATAATAGAAGTATGCTTCCATGGTTTGAGGTCAAGGACTCCATCAGAGGGCTCTGAGACCCACAGGTTGAGCACCCCTGACCTAGAACAAGTATAGAGGCAGGCACAGCCAGGTGGCTAGCATTTTCAGAAGGAAGCTAGCACTGGCAGTCTTTATACTTTTTTCATGACAGGTGTAGTTTAATTAGGTAAGCTACCATCTTAAAGGATTTTTAGCTTTTAACTGAAAATAAAAAAGCATCTCCTAGCAGCCTTATGCAGCAGAGTTGAACCTCTGATATTCTGTTGCTCAAAACCCAGGTAAGCGTGGACCCCTCGCCATTTGTCAACTCTGTGTGAGGGTTGCCAATAGCAAATAAACACTGCAAGGCACAGGGTACTTCTCTGTAACACACAAGATGAAGTGAAAATGGAATGGAAATCCCCTTTCAGGCTACAGTTTTAGCTTTGTTGGAATATTTACTTGGATGGTTCACAAAAGTTTCTGTTTTACTTCTTTGTTTTGAGAAGGTCCATGTCAAGAAATGTTGGTGTGTATGTGTGTTTTTCACGAATTTAAATCCACCGTATGTAAGTCTGTACATAAAACACTAGATCTTTTCTGCTCTCATTTTTGGTAAACCATATATTTGGGTGGTTAATAAAGACTGTTGTTGTTTGCAGCTTATGAAAACAATCCAGACGATTCCAGTTCCTGTTATAGCTCAGGTTAATGGATTGGCTACAGCCGCAGGATGCCAGCTTGTTGCCAGCTGTGATATAGCTGTGGCATCTGACAGATCCAAGTTTGCTACACCTGGTGTGAATGTTGGACTTTTCTGTTCTACTCCTGCTGTTGCTTTGGGAAGAGCTGTGCCAAGAAAGGTTAGAGTGCATCTAATTTTTATTATTGCTGAGTGGACACCACAGAAAGAAGGACAGGTGTGCTTTATTCCTGTGGTTTTCCATCATCCAAAATGTCTACTCTGTTTGTGACCATGTCTTATCCGTGTGGAAAAAATTGCAGATTGCTTGTGTACTGCCCACATCTTGTTGTGACCTGATCCACAGATGAGCATCCAATCGTAGCCCCTCTTCCTTTCTATATTTTAATTGTTTCTTTCTGCTACACTTTATGGGGTTATTTAAGTATAGAAAACCCATATATATGCAGCAAGACTAAATACTGCAGTGTACTAAAATGATATACTTAAAGTGGTTATAAAGGCAGAAGGTTTTGTTTACATTAATGCATCCTATGCATTAAGGTAAAAAAGAACCTTCTGCATGCAGTTCCCCTTCCCCCAGCCCCACCTTATACTTACCTGAGCCCAATCTCAATCCATCCCTGTGCATGAGAGCAGAGGCTCTCTGTGTTCTCTCCTTCCTTATTGGCTAAGAGGCAGCAGGAGGAGCTCCCTCTTTATTGGCTCCTGTTGCTGTCAATCACAGCCAGTAAGGAAGGAGTGCGGGGTGTGGGGCTGAGTCCTGCTGTCTGTGTAAATAGATGCAGACAGTGAGGCTCAGGAGTGGGCCTGCACGAGTGCCCCCATAGGGGGAGGAGCCAGGAATTGTGGCAGGGACCACAGAAGAGGATAATCTGAGCTGCTTTTTGCAAAACCATTGCTCTGAGCAGGTAAGTATGACTGTTCTATTAAAGAAAAAAATTACGTATAGAACCACTTAAACTGCCCTGAAAATAAGCCATTTGGCTCTGCTATACAGGCAATTTCAATCACATTGTTACAAGTCAGAATCACTTCTCTTAGAACTATTTTCTACCATTGAAGAATGCCAGTCACCACTAGGGCACACAGAAAACAATTGTTTTCTTTGCGTCCTATTCACACTGCTTGGCAGCCCAGATCACTGCGGTGATTTCCAATAAAATGTAGGCATTTTGCATTTTATCACAGCACACAGGACAGAATCGTATGTCACTGAACAACAGCGCAGCACACTGCGCTGCAGTACAGTGACATGAATAGAGTGTCATTTTTGTGCAGTTCAAAAAAAGTCAGCTAATCCACTATTTCCTTTGGATTTTGCAGTACAGAGATAATATAAAAAAGGTCTGCTGACAGACACATTGGTTGCTGTACTAAGCAGTCAGGTCACAGAGCAATTTATATTTTCCCTGCACTTGTTCGTGTGATGTGACATTGTTTGGCCCAGCACAGGGGACGCTGGAAGAAACATCTCTGCCTTGTACTTTACCCACTTTACCCCCTATTGCCCTCTGCAAAGTAGGGCTGGAGGCAATAACTGGAACCAACCCAGGCCCCTTTGGTGCTGAAGCCCAATCACTCTTAAATGTACCCTATAGACAAAGATGATTCAAACCCTTGATTTCAACAAGGTTGAGTGACGGTTAAAGTGTTACTAAACCCACAACAGTAAAATCAGTCTGTATATGTAGTACAGCATGCTTGTTATGCTCACTGTGGAACCTAATGGGTTAATCCTGTGCATTGTGTAAGATTGCTGTTTGAGCCTGACTTCTCTGATCCTCCCCTTCTTCCAGTGCCCCCTCTCCTGATAAGACATGTGTGAAGACACTGCACATGCTCAGTTTGATGTGTATTGCTAGAGGTGTTTTTTTTTGTTTTTGTTTTTTTTTTTTCTTTCTTTCTTTCTTGGGAGAGTGCATGTGATCAGCACTGTCCAGACAGAGGTCAAGATTCTACATCCTCCTAAAGCAGAAAGAAAACTCTTCCTACAAGCTTTAACCAGTGCTCTGCAGAACACTGATACAATAGAGACCACCCTAAGTAGGGTGCAATAAAAATGTAAATATACAATCCCTTTCAGAAAAGGGCCTTACGTCTCATACAGCGGAACAGGAAGTAAGAAACCTATATAGTATGTGTCCAGCCAGAAGGATAACAATACAGGTCACCAGCTACCTCAGAAAACAGTGCAGGTGACCCCGCCTATACATCATTAAGTTGGTCACTTCTCCACTGCTCTGACCGTCGCCAGTCAAATGCTCCACATGGAAAGGCTACACTAAGGTCTGAGAAATACAAAATTAAAAATTGAAAAAAAATTTAAGTGGGGTAGGAAAGCAATAGGGGAAGGATAGTGTGGGCTATGCGCTAATCTGCTCCCCATGTTCTTTAACTGATGGTCAACATAAGCTAAGGAAGCTAACGCTTCCAGAAGGGCTAGGCAATACCAAAATATGTGTAGCATATCTCCCCCATCAGAAGCACCACACCAACAACTGTGGACACCGCCAGGTACATACGTTGTAATGTGGCTGGCGTTTGATACCACCTTGTCAAAATTGTATACCCTAATTCTTGGTACTTATTGCTGATGGAAGATTTATATGACAGAGACTACATTTTTGAGTGAATAGTCCCAAGTTGAGATCCCTTTCCCATCTTTCCAAAATAGGAGTAGTTGAGTGTCAGGTTTCTGAGAGTAGTAATTTATAGATAAAGGAGAGAAGATGTCAAGCCGGGTCCGCCAGTCAACCTTCCAATTCATATGTGGTTAGTGGATGATTATACGAAGGAGTATCAGGCAATGATTTCAGAAAGTGGGATAATTGTCATTAAAGCTTTGATCCCGGGACATTTGAGTGGCATCTCTCACACTTGTTTAATTTTGCAGGTTGCCTTGGAAATGCTGTTTACAGGTGAACCAATATCAGCCCATGATGCTTTAATGCATGGCCTTGTCAGCAAAGTGGTGCCTGAGAAGAACCTAGAAACTGAAACCATGAGGATTGCCAGCAAAATTTGCCAGGCCAGTCGTTCTGTAGTTGCACTGGGAAAAGCTACTTTTTATAAGCAAATTTCACAAAACCTAGAAGAAGCTTATGAGCTTACGTCACAAGTCATGCTTGAAAACCTTGCCCTAAAGGATGGCCAAGAAGGAATAGAAGCCTTCACACAAAAAAGGAAGCCAGTGTGGACTAATTAATCAGAACAATCACCTATGCAAATATTGACATAATTATGAAATAAAAAATGCACTGCTTCTAATTGTTCTGTGTATAAAATAATAGAATTTTTTTTTTATACTCCCCATAAACCCGGTACAGATATCACAGTTTTTCACTTGGCAATGATTTCATCTATTTTTATTTCAAAAGAGGCACACATTTTTAGTTTTTTGGCTGTTTGTTTTATTCTTGCAGTAAACCCGTGAAAACAGAAACCGAAGTTTGTTTACTAAACAAGAATGATGCACATATAAACTATTTACAGTTACAGGAGAATAATACAAAACACATAGGGGTTGACTTACTAATGGCAATTATTCCAGAGCTCCAGTAAATGAGCAGAATCTCTGCTGACTTCCATCATCCAATTATGTTAAAGAAAAAATGCTGGGTTTTTTTTGGGTTTTTTTTTTTTGTTTTTTTTTCCATGCACCTGATAATTTTTTGCAAAGTGACGCTTTACCTCATTTACTAAGCTCTGGAACAACTGCACTTTGTAACATGTACATTCTATTTGCCTTTGGTAAATCAACCCCATAGAGTACTACAAAAATGAATACATACATACAGTCACACAGTATGTATCCTAACCTAATAAAAGAACAATTGCAATAGTTTGTATGCAGTAAGGATACACTAGGGGCAGAAAAAAGCACCATAAAAGCTCATAATGGCTTGTTTTGCACAAGAGTTTATGGGCATTTGCCTTTAGAAAAGTTTTTTTTCCCAAAACATTCCCCTCTACCTATTTTTCAATGTACACTTGAAAACACAGAACTCTCCTAAATGCCGAGTTTGTGATCATTAAGCATTTTTTCTCAAAAGTTCCTCTCAAAAATGTGATTTTCATGTTTTGTTTTTTCTTCTTGTCTCTAAACGCTCCTCTGAAAATATGTCTGTAAACTCCCTAATGTGCATGGACACATAGGCTAACATAGAACTGCTTCTTCAGGCTGAAGAAAAAAAATGGAAAATGTCTGTATAAGCAGTGTTTTTTTTATGCCCAATGTGCATGGACTCTAAAAGTGACTTTGCTTCGGTTATAGTTGGTCCATGATTTCCTTCGCAAACAGGACTGCACTCATTAAGCAATCACAGGGAAAGAGGTACTTGATCTCGATAGTCTCTCTCTTGTAATGAAGCTTTAGGTTCCATGCACACTGAGCCTAAATGTCATTTAAAGTGGTTCTAAAGGCAGAGGGTTTTGTACCTTCATGTATTCTTTGCATTAAGGTAAGAAACCTTCTGGGTGCAGCTCCCCCCTCAGCCCCCCCCCTCCTTATACTTACCTGAGCCCCATCTCAATCCAGCAATGTGCATGAGAACTGAGGCTTTCCTGGGTCTCTCCTCATTGGCTCACACATCAGCAGGAGCCATCTGCTCCTAACTGCTGTCAATCACAAACGGTGAGCCAATGTGGAGAGAGTGGGGGCGGGGCCGAGCCATGCTCTGTATGTGAATGGACAATGTCCATTCAAAGAATGGTGGCTTAGGAGCTAACCTGCTTGAGTGCCCCCATAGCAAGAGGCTTGCAATTGGGGGAACTCGGTATGGGGGAGGAGCCATGACCACCGGTGGGAGACCCAAAAAAGAGGATTGGGGCTGCTCTGTGCAAAACCATTGCACAGAGCAGGTAAGTATAACATATAGTTTTTTATTTTTTTTTATTTTATTATTTCAACCTTTAGAATCACTTTAATCACTTCCATACGGAGGCACTTTTACCCCCTTCCTGCCCAGGCCATTTTTCAGGTTTCAGCGCTCTCACACTTTGAATGACAATTGAGCGGTCATACAACACTGTACCCAAACTAAAATTTTATCATTTTCTTCACACAACTAGAGCTTTCTTTTGGTGGTATTTAATCACCGCTGGGGTTTTTATTTTTTTGCTAAATTAACAAAAGACCGAAAATAAAAAAAAAAAAACGTTTTTCTTTGTTTCTGTTATAAAAGTTTGGAAATAAATAATTGTTCTTCATAAATTTAGGCTAAGATGTATTCTGCTACATTTCTTTGGTGAAAATAACCCAAATTAGTATTTATTATTTAGTCTGTAAGAAAGTTATAGAGTTCACAAACTATGGGATATATCTGAAAATTGATCAATCCTGAAGTACTCACAGCCAATCTAATTTCTTGAGGTCCAAAAATGTCAGAACAGTACAGATATCCCCAAATGACCACTTTTTGCAAAGTAGACAGTCCAATGTACTTCATAAGAGGCATGGTGAGTTTTTTGAAGTTGTAATTTTTTTGTCATTTTTCGGAAAATGAAAAAAAAAAATATTTTCACTTTTTTTTTTTTTTTACATACTGTCACCAGTGCAGTACAGCATCATCATATAACTAGCATGGCAGTGATCAGGGACACTGACTGGTGACAGTACGAAAAAAAAATTTGATAATTTTGTTTTTATTTTTTTTTATTTAGTTTTAATTTTTTATTACATTTTTCTTTTTTCTTTTTTCTAAGATTTTTTTTTTTTTTCATATTTCACTATGACCAATGTAGTATAATGTTACCATAGTAACATTGTAATACTTTGGGGAAGTGATCAGTGTGTGTGTGTGTGTGTGTGTGTATATGTGTGTGTATGTATGTATATATGTATGTGTATATATATATATATATGTATATATATATATATATATATATATATATATATATATATACAGTTGCAAGAAAAAGTATGTGAACCCCTTGGGATTACGCAGAGTTTTGCATGAATTGGGCATAAAATGTGCTCTGAATGTCATCTAAGTCACAACAATAGAAGAACACAGTCTGCTGAACATAATCCTACACAAACATTAGATGTTGCCATGGTTTAATTGCACATAACATGTAAACATTCACAGTGCAGGGAGGAAAAAGTATGTGAACCTTTGGACTTAATAACTGGTTGACCCTTTTTTGGCAGCAATAACCTCAACCAAACGTTTCCTGTAGTTGCAGATCAGACCTGCACAACGATCTGGAGTAATTTTGGAGCACTCCTCTTCACAAAACTGTTTCAGTGTAGCAATATTCTTGGGATGTCGCTCTCTTAAGGTCATGCCACTGCATTTCAATTGGTTGAGGTCAGGACTCTGACTGGGCCACTCCAGAAGGTGTATTCTGTGCTGTTGCAGCCATTGTTTTGTTGAATTACTTGTATGCTTTGGGTCATTGTCCTGTTGCATCACCCATCCTCTGCGGAGCTTCAGTTGGCGGACAGATGGTCGTACGTTTTCCTGCAAAATGTCTTGATAAACTCTGGAATTCATTTTCCCATCAATGACAACAATCTGTCCAGGCCCTGAGGCAGCAAAGCAGCCCCAAACCATGATGCTCCCTCCGCCATGTTTTACAGTGGGGATGAGGTTTTGATGTTGGTGTGCTGTGCCTTTTTTTCTCCACATATAGTGTTGTGTGTTCTTCCCAAACAACTCAATCTTGGTTTCATCTGTCCACAGTATATTTTGCCAGTAGTGCTGTGGAACATCCAGGTGCTCTTTTGCAAACTTCAAACATGCTGCAATATTCTTTTTGGACAGCAATGGCTTCCTCCGTGGTGTCCTCCCATGTACTCCATTCTTGTTTAATGTTTTCCTTATTGTAGATGTGTCAACAAAAATGTTAGCATGTGCCAGAGATTTCTGATTTTCTTTGGGATTCTTCTTTACCTCATGCAGCATTCTGCGCTGTGCTCTTGCAGTCATTTTTACAGGATGACCACGCCTAGGGAGAGTAGCAACAGTGCTAAACTTTCTCCATTTGTAGACAGTCTTACCGTGGACACATGAACATCAAGGCTTTTGGAGATACTTTTGTAACCCTTTCCAGCTTCATGCAAGTCAACAATTCTTGATCGTAGGTCTTCTGAGAGCTCTTTTCTGTGAGACATGGTTCACATCAGACAGTGCTTCTTGAAGCCAGTAAACCCAAAACAGGTGTGTGTTTTTTTAAGGGCAGGACAGCTGTCAGCAACACATCCAATATCATCACACTGATTGGAGTCAAGGTTGGCTCACTCCTGGCTCCAATTAGCTCTGGGAGAAGTCATTAAGCTAGGGCCTCACATACTTTTTCCTCCCTGCACTGTGAATGTTTACATGTTATGTGCATATAAACCATGACAACATCTAATGTTTGTGTAGTATTATGTTCAGCAGACTGTGTTCTTCTATTGTTGTGACTTAGATGACGTTCAGAGCACATTTTATGCCCAATTCATGCAAAACTCCACGTAATCCCAAGGGGTTCACATACTTTTTCTTGCAATATATATATATATATTTTTTTTTTTTTTTTTTTTTACACAATTTGCTTATAGCAAAGAATTACTTTGCTATAAGCAAGCATTTACCTGAATGACATTGATTCATTCAGGGTTTTTTTTTTTTTTGTGCTTAGCTGTGATTTGGCCATGGCTAATCACATGACACAGATGGGCTGTGATTGGCCCAGCTTGTGCATGTGTTCACTGTAACCATTCACAGATATACACACTTGCATACAATGGATGGCATGAAAGGAAGCTATCCATTGTATACAACTGTCATGTGACCTGCTCTGATTGGTCACAGCAGGTCACATGGTACTGGCAACGGGGCCGGTACACAGATCTGTCATCGGCCCTGTCCGAGGTACACGGCTGGTGACAGATCGTGCCTCAGAGCAGCCCTGTGGGCAGGCGCACTGCGCATGCCTGAAAGGACACCATATGGTGTCCACCCGGAGGGACGAGCTGTTCACCCAGCCGCCATCTGGCTATAGGCCGGGCGGCAACTGGTTAAGATGTATTTTCAGGGTAAAGAAGAACAAGGAGTCCTGGAAATGATGGTTTGGCCCCCACAGAGCCCTGATCTCAACATCATGGTGTCTGTGTGGGATTACATGAAGAGACAGAAGGATTTAAGGTGGCCTACATCCACGGAAGATCTTTGGTTAGTTCTCCAAGATGGAACAACCTACCTGCTGTGTTCCTTCAAA